TAAGAAAATACATCTATATAAATTATCACCATGATTTTAATAAGTATTTGAATTGTTTTCTTAGGACAGTCAAATCATTTGTTTATTATAATACGATATTTCTTTTTAAAACTGTTATCCACTTCCTAATAATATTATAAGTGAGAAAGTTTGGATGTATGGATGTTTTTAACTAGTAAACGCGAAAAATACTGGTCGGATTGGACTGAAATTTGGTGTGATGATAGCTCACATTCCTGATTAACATATAGATGCATTCATATCTTAAAAATCCTTTCGGGCTCCACCCCAGTGGCTCTGGAGTTTCCCATGTTAACCTTATGAGTATTCATATTTAAAAGGAATTAAAGAATTTTGTCAGCTGTTTCAACTGCACAAGTTGGTTCTATAATATTAAATAGCATTAAAAGGTTATAAGGTTTACCAACAGGGTGGAGCACTATTTTGTTTTCATTTAAAAAAAGCTGTGAAAAATTAGGATTTTACTTTTTTATTGTTTAGGTGCGGTGGTAGAATATTATGGCTATGTTAGATGTGCTATACTAAAGCATGCCGTAAATTAAAAGAACCAAATTTTCTAAAACCATGTCCTCTCCCATTGTTAACGCAAGGCATGGGTATAACTGCAATAAGAATTTTATACTTATACGCCAACCCCGTAAGAAGGACGGGTACTCTGCTAGTTTAATATCTATTTGTTTACTATTCTGTACGGTAATTTTCTGTTTTAATAAATTTTTATCTTTAAACTATTTTAGTGTAAAAGTGATATACAACAAAGATAGACTTATTATAACCAATAATGGAGAATGAAAAGTGTTGTTTTGCAAAGCACTATGGGATTGGCCTTAATGTCAAGTTGTTGAACATGGGTTCATATGGAATGAAAATGTTCTTCGATTTTGCAGAAGTAGTCATGAATATTAAAGGAACAATCTTCTTCTTATTGGATATTTTCAAGGTGAACTTCTCAAAATATTACTGGCAATATTGGTTGTCTTAGGTTGCTTTAAAGCGTTCTACTTATTGTTTGTTAACTGCTATCTATATTATGCAATCCTGCTTGTTAATTTTTATAGAACATAAAAACTAATTAGAATGACTTTAATTGTTTTATTTTATAATCTTGTCATTCAAAATACGTAGTTTCATCAAGCAGTAAGTATTTTTTTTTTTTTTTTTATAAAAATAAATAGTATTGCCAATTCTAAGAAAGATCATTTTGTACTCAAAATCTTCATTGTAATGACCTTCCTTTAGGAAATCTCAGTTATTTATCCTCTACTCAAACACTTCAATGTCAATCATCTAGGGATTATGGTTTATAAAGTCACAATTTTCTTCTTATTTTTTATACATTACGCTAACTCATTGTAAACGTTTCTAATATCATTTAACGTATCTTATTTTTTACTTAAATATTTCACCACTTTATCTAGCATGCTAAAGTATTTTCGAAAAATTATTTTGTATGGTATTTTCTCAGTCTTTCATTATGTGTATAAAAAATCCAACAGCTTTTTTTTAAGGTGAAATTGGATCTACAGGGAGGGGGAGGGTGAATTACACCTACTATTTAGTAGATAATGTGACAAAGAGTACAGTAAGCTACGTATCGACTTCTGTGTAATGCTATATTAATCATTTATCGTTTTATTAGAACATGAAAACAATACGTTGAAAACATCATTTTCTTTCGACTATCACCTCCCTTGAAACGAGGATGTATAACTTCAGCCTGAAAAACAAGGAACCGTAGTAGCATCATCAGCCAGCAAATTGTAATTTAGAATCTGCGGTATTTGAACCCTGTCCCTCGTGATATTGGTCAAAAGTACTTGACCATAAATGCACGTTATAGAGCAACGATTGCCTTCAATTTGAAGGTCGCTGGCTCGATTCCTATCGAGATCTTTTCTGAACCTATAAAATTGCTGCAATAGGCTTCGTCGATTAGTTACAACTTACAAGACCAGTTTTTGGACACTGAATATAGAATGTGTAATGATGTAGTTAATAGTATGTAGTTTGGGTCCCTAATAAATCTTTACAAATTCTAATAGAATCTATATAAACACACAAAAATTCTTTTCTACTCCATAATGCGGGAACGTCTACATTCAGGGAGGAATTTTTCCTTAAGGTGGATTTTGTTGCAATAGACTTACCACAAATATGAACATCAACTTGATACGATTTCAATTCGGATGTTAGACTTATAATCAAAACAGTCTAACATGTTAAAATACTGTTATAGATTTTTAAAATAATGTATACAATATTTGTTTCGAAACATTACAATAAATCAATGCTTATTTACTAATGAGGGAACAGTTACTCTTATGACTAATAAACCAACCTTGGACCAGCATCTATTTTATACGGGTAGATTATAAGATGAATATCAACCCAAATTCAGATATATTATTTCACCTATTTTCAACTCATACTATGCCATTGATGTCCCTAAACCTATTTACTTGAGATATGATATGAAAAATCTTTTTATCTATTTACCATAGTGTATAAATACACTACATAATTTACGGTTCTAGAAGCTACATCCCTCCAAGTCCAATGCGTTTAGACGTTGAGGTACCAATTAGTGGTGGGCCTTATATAACGTAATATAATAAATATAACACTATTACGTTTGTAACAGGTTACTGAGAATACCCTATTCTTTTTGTAACGTCTTCTGAACCGTTTGAACGAACTAGTGAGATAAAGCTGACCGTGTCGTTCTATTAATTAATAGTAAACACTTGGTAATAGTTTACTGAGATTCATATTTTTTATAACTTCGTAGTACTCGAACAAATGAAATAATGCTGGAAGGGGAAATAATGAGTGACAAAAATAATAGTGTTATTTCATTTATTAGCAAAAAACTAAGGAACGTTCCTGACTGTTACTGAAAAGTAACGGTGTTTCCCATCTCTAGTACCAATAACGTTAAGTACATCGCCGCTATGTCAACAGGTTTATGAGCCCGTAAAGTCAGGTTACAAAGACTCAGGCAACTACGAACGAAGCTTTATTGCAGACTTAAATAATTGACTCTTTTTTATTTTAGGATCGTCCCCAAGGTTAAACCAACTTCTTTCGTGGATTGAAGGTACTGAAATCTAGAATATTTTCCTAATATCCTATCAGAAATCAAGCAGTAGTTTTAAATTAATTCTTCCACGAGGTGAAAGTATTTTAAAAGTGATTTATAAACAATTAAGAAATAGTAAACAAGACATTCTTAGGAATAAACCGGAGAGACATACCTAGGATTGTGTTAAATATAGTACAACTTCATTGAACTTTTATAGTTGGTAAATAGCGAATAACTTAAAAGTTGACGCTGAATAGCTATACCAGAATTCAAGCCAAAGTTAGAATGCCAATGGTGTAAAAAATAAAAAATGACTATCAATACAAATAGTTTAATCGTTTACTATATGCAATTATCACGAAACATACCGGTAAGCTTTGAATTCACGGTCTCCTAAAAATTTGATAATAGGTTTTTTCTCTAGATAATGGTTTATTTGCAGCACATAATTATACCGCACAAATAGTTTTGTTTTGTTTTAATAACAAATAGTTTGAGGATATTCAAGAATTTAAAATTTATTTTACTACGTTAAATGGTAACCTATATTGGAGATATTGGCAATGAATAATTAAATGTATAACTAAATTTAAAAGTTCAACAATGGCCCTTTTGAACTTTTAAATTTAGTTATACATTTCATTACGTTAACTGTTATTTAATAAAATATTTTGAGATTTTTATACTGGGTAAAGTTTCTTAATTGTTCAATTATTTTAGTGTAAGAAAAGAGTAAATGCGATTTCATATTTAACAAAATTGTAACCAGCCGTAACACCTAACAGAATTGTTTCTTTTCATTTTGACTTAATAGATACATTTTCGCATTCGAAAGCGGTTCTAGAATTATAAAAATATTAATACAATGTATCTTGTTTACACTCTAAATCCAGTTGCATTTAAACACAATCACATTATGTATTATCGTGGTAACCAAGTTGTATGTTTCTTTTCCAGAATTAAATAACATCACAATAAAACAAATCTGTTTAAATACTGGGTAATCACATGTATCAATTTGTATCTGTAAATTTAGTTACAAAAACACAATACCCGATTAGTGAATGAAAATTTGGATTAATTCTGTTATCCTGAAACGTTAAGGAATCATTTAGCTTTTATTCCCAGCTAAGATAAATTAAAACTATCTCTTTGTTATTATTTTCTTCGTACTGGAAGACAAAGAGAAACAAAGCACTTAATTAAGGATCTACCGTTAAGGCGAGATTCCCTTTGAGCATGATCGGCTGAATAGAGTAATTATATAGTTAGGATTAACAAGTATGAGCTTTGAGAGTTATTCAAGCCAATCTTAAGTAATTGAAATTTAATAAGAAATCTAGATAATAGTTTCGCAATTTTAGTTTGAAGTACTAAAAGTCTTGCAAAATAAACCTCATTGGCGATTTTAATATTTAATTTGACTATAAAGACAAATCATACTAAAATAGTATGGATGTTACGATTTTACAGTGATAAATATAAGTCGTATGATATTCTTAAATGTATATCTTAGATAGACGGTTCTTATTACATAAAAGACTTTTTTACTTGGTTTTTGTATAAAAAGATTAGGTTGGTCCCAAGCAATGGGCCCAAGGATCGAGTACGAGGAAAATTTCAAGATTATACAAATGAAATAGTCTAAGTAGTGTTTACATTGGTAAATTGTTTATTTTATACTGATTTGTTGACATTTAAATGAAAAACTATCTTTCCCTGTTGCAGCCAACCAAAGATCTCATTACAATTAATGTTATCTTTATAAGTAATGTATCTGAAAATCATAAAACAATATTCTAGTTGGAATTCCCTAAGTCTCCAGGTTTGCTGCAATGGGGCAATTTGATTTTTGACTGTTTCAAAGATGTGTTTACAACTATAATGATTCCCGGCAGTTAGTGTTAATCTTGTTATGTAAGAGATGTCGATTATGGGAGGTTGGAGTAAGATTTATATCCAAAAACTTCGTGCAAATGTTTCAGCAATTAGTATAAAGAAAATCGTTGCAGTACAATGTTTAGTCAAAATACTGGTTTGATATTTGGGTCTTTTCCCTCTCAACAAAATCATAATCTTAATTAAGCGTTGCAATAATTGTAACCGTCTCTCTTGCTAAATATGATCCACATTCCTTTCTTCACTTTGGGGTAGAACACCCTCTTGTCCATATCCAGTGGAACACTCATCCTCCGATCCAAGCCGACGCGGTGTTCCACTAAAACTCTCGCCAAACACAGCTTGATGGTCAGCACCGCCAGGTCTATGCTGACGCAAGCACGAGGTCCGCCACCAAACGGCAGAAATATACTGGACTCTTTGTAGTCATTCCCTGTCCATCTTTCAGGTCTGAACTCTTCTGGGGAAGGGTAGAATTCAGGGTCTGCGTGAAGCCCATCCACAGGGATACACACCATCATATCCTTCTCTAATGTGAGCGAGGTACCGGGTAGTGTGTAGGGCTTGGTGACAGATCTGATAAGTGCGGGGTTGAAGCTGTGAAGACGCAGTGTTTCTTGAATAACAAGGTCCAAGTAAGTCATTTCCTTTAGAGCTTCGTAAGACCATCCTCCGTGCTTACTGATCGCTTCCGTTATCTCTTTTAGTATCGTGTCTTGGATCGTGTTGTATTTGGCTATTTCGTAAAGTGCAAATGTTATAGTGACTGCTGTTGGTTTAATTCCTGCTGTCATGAAGTTAAACATGAGTAATGAAATTGATTCATTAGAAGAATCAGTATTTATTTCCCCTGTATAGTTAATTTCTTCGGAATTCAAATTTAGCATGGTTTGAAGAACATCGTCCCTAGTTGTCATCTCTTTTTTCCGTAAATGTATTATGTCCCTGATCATATTTGTGAATGTTTCCATGGCTTTCTTAGGTATTCTTTCAAGCTTTAGCAGATTGTAGAGTTTCTGGTTCACCAAGCCCATCACCATTATAATATACCGAACCAAAGATGGGTTGAACAAAGCATTTAATGATTCTTCCAATTGGTGGTATTGGTCAACATTTGTTACCTCCACACCAAACAAGCAACTAGCAAGGACCTCGGTTGTGTATGTTGTAGCCATGTTTTCAACTTCAATTCGTTCTCTAAATTCATTAAGTAGACTTATTTTTTGAAGAACACGATCAGTACTGGAAAGTATTTGGTTAAACATTCCACTGACCTTACCTGAAGAGAAAGCAGGCGCAACTCTAGATCGCAAAGTCTTCCATTCTTCACCAGTGCAGTAAGAGAGTGTGTTTACCAAAGGGTATCGACCATCTTCCTTAGAGAGTCGGTCATGGAAATAAGGGAAGTCTTCGACCAATACCTTTTCAATCAGACTGGGCCTACATACATACAGAGCAGGTGTGTTGAGAAGGAAAACTCCTCCGTAACCGTTGGGTTTAAACTTTTCATAGCACATCTGGTTGAAATGTTTGTTGGATTCTTTTCTAAGCAGTTGTTCTTTAATGCTTCCGAAGAAAATATCTGGTTTAATATACGGAACGTTACGGTTCTTCCAGTACGAGTAGTTTCTAACCAGAATCCAATGGCACAAATACAATAGTAAAACCACCGTGCAAAACAGCAATGTTAATGAAAACTCAAAATAGTTTAAGTTTAAATAACTAAACATTGTTTATACTTTATGAACATTAAGTAACTGTTTGAAACCACCAACAAACACTATCGAAAATGAAGTACCTAACATTTGTGACAGAATTATTACGACGCTTATCAGTACTTTACAATGCTGGTGTCATCATTGATAACTCAAAATCATGAACATGGATCTACAATTATGTGAGATTAAACATGCCCTTATGACTGATATATCTCATTAGTCAGTTGACCACTATAACCAAATATTCGCAATTAGAATCTATAGTTTTATAACAGTATGAATAGTTTTTATAATTACTACTTGAAGGCCTACAGGTTAATAAATAAATTAATTAATACAATGTATCAAAGTATATTACTTTTAATTAGACTTAGATGTAAATATTAACTTTTAATTAGAAAAGTTCTGAAGTATAAGGTTTTAATCGTCCGAGGTATTCACTAGTTAATGTTTTATAGCCATCCATGTAGCTTAAAATGGCACCCGAACCACTAAGTCACAGCATTAACATTGTTATTGCTAATTGTTATTGTAGTTAATTATTTACACTGTTTCTTGTTATTGTTATTGATGTTTATTATTCACACTGTTTCTTGTTATTGTTATTGATGTTAATTATTTACTCTGTTTCTTGTTATTGTTATTGATGTTAATTATTTACACTGTTTCTTGTTATTGTTACTTTTTTTCACAATGTTGTAACTGTTGCAATTTTACTCAAACTGTCCACCACCACCACCAAACTTCTTACTCATTTAATGATGTTTTCTATTGTATTATCTTGTTGCATCTTGTCAATGTATTATTTTGTAAAATGGCGATTGCCGTAGGAATGAATAAATACAATAAAATAAATAAAATAAAACACACACCTAAAACAATTGGAGACTGGTTGTATTGGAAGACTGAACTCCAGGGCGAATGAAGTGACTCACTTTATCCACCATACCAATCCCTCTAAATCTTAGAAATAATGATACAAAATGTATGATTATAATGTGCTGTAATAATAGTAGCTTATGCAATATTAGAATATAATAGTATAAAAGTTAACAGAAAAACAGTATAATATTAAATTATATTTGTTTTGCAATAACAGAGAATTCATTATTTCACCATGTATTTTTTTAAGTCGGGACCACGTAAGTTTGCAATTGAGGGAGGAGCCTATTTACCATATGGTTTTGAACGAACCAATGAGAACCGTGCGGTGTTGCCAAATCTAATAATACCAGCTGATTTGAAAATATTGCTTAGTATATTTTAAATAGTGTTGCCAACGGCAATGTGGCAACGTCGCACTAGCCTTGTCTTGTGATTAGCTGCTACCAACTGCAAACTTAACTAGGGTTTCTGCGTATAAAATTAGCCTATTTTAATTCACAAATGGATTCTGCACATCTACAGAAAAATCTTTCTAACAATATGCGTAGATATTGCCTGCGATGCACACGAGCTGAGAAAACAGGTTTTCAAGAAACATGCTTGTCTGTTAATATATTGGATATACAAATAATTCTTGTCTATGTTCATAATAGTGATTTTTTTTACTAAACTAGCTACATAAAGTTAATACAAGGAAACTATTTGCGATATTTTAACAATTTAAATAGCTTATGTCGCTGTATTACTATCTGTATACATGGTAAATGCACCAAAAGAACCAAGGAATAAATAAACATATTTCCAAAATTAGTAGTAACAACCAAATTAGTCTAAAACATTTTTTTTTAGTACGACGCAATCCTTTGAAGGACAAACATTCTTTTTCATTTCCCTCTCTTATTTTTATTGGACGGTTCGGACTTCATTGTAGGGCTTAGCACTACACAAAGTTAACATTTCACAAAAGACCACGATAAAGGCCTAGAGATCCTCAGGTTGCCTTTACGTGAGGAGGACTAACTTTACGGTTGTCAACCAGGTTGACAAGAGCTTTATCACGTGACTGTGAACAATTCTCCATTGTTACATCTGACAACGAAGATAACAACTGCATCACAGCTACAGAGTAAACTGGCAAAGTAGCTAATACTGTATTCATTCATAGACTAAGCAAAATAGTTCATCCTAAAAGTACTAGCTTCCGGTGTCGAGACCCAGGTGGAGAATAAAAACAAATATTTTTTGAAACTGTATTATGGCAAATATAAATAAATGACGAGATATTTGTAAATTTGAGATTGTGGATTTCGATTTGTTATTTCCGGATATTTTTATATTCATACTGTTAGTGTTTGTTTACCTTTACAATGTGTTTAGTGTTGTTTAGGTGAGTTTTGTATTTTGAAAGTAATTCTAGTTAGAAGTTGGTAAAATAAAAAAATTAATTCAGAAACAAACGGTCATTTCCAATTCTCGGCGCTACAAAAACTGCTTCGTATTTTATCTGAAGAGGAAACATGTGAAGTGAGTGCGGGAGAGTGTTTAGCAGTTGTATTACTAATTTTGATATAAGTTTACTCATTATTGATATTGTTATACTAATTTCGACCATTTAGCGTAAACGCATGGTTATATATTTTACCTACGACCGTTTTTTTAAGTAGTTGTTCCAGTTCAGTTCTTAGAATTGAAAAGTTTCTCATAACAGCATTGTTTACTTTCATAACAGCATAGTTTTACTCATAACAACACGGGTAAAGGACCGATGAGGTTCAAGGATTGATAGAGAAGAAGTAACATTGTAATGATTCAAACTTCAACTTATCAGCTGTTCAAACCAAATTAATTATTGAGTGGAGCAAATAGTGTTTGGTACAATGTTTCATTGCATCACTGTCAGTGGCAATGAGAGGTTATAAACGGAAACATAACCTCTCTTAGAAGTTATGAGTAGTTAGTTTTTGTAATTAAAACACTGTCGCAGGGTAGTAGTGTACGCGACTCGCGTAAATAGTGTTAACGCAATCGTTGCGTAAACTAGTATTGTATTAACATTTTACTAACTAACTTATTGTGTTTGGTTAGTTTCGTTCGTCTTCGTACCTAAGCCACGGAAAATAATAACGTTTTATGATTAAAATATCTTTTTCAAAGACAGATTTGTTAATGGTTGTAGTTACGATACCCTACACATTTCTATTTTTAAAATAAACCATCATTATAACTATCGTTTTCCTTCCAACCTCCGAAAGAACCACTTTTCTTTATTTTAGGGGTTCAAGGGGCAAAATATACTGTCCTTAAATTAATTTCCAAAATTTAAAAAACATTTTAATGTATGTGTAGTTGAAAAGTTAAATAATGTGTAGTTTTAGTGACAACATTATTTTTATTCTATTTAATATCCGATTCCAACATGTAGGAATACTAGTTCCATCCAATCTTAATATCTGAGATACATACACTCAATATACTTCATATCCAGTCCATTCTAGTTTCCTCCCCTTGCCATTACACGCCATAACAACCCCTAGTATTACCACGGTGCGTGCGTTGCGGATGAATTGCCTCCTTTACATAACACAACTGACCAGTATATCCACAGTCGCGCCATACAATGCTACAAATCACTGTTGTAAATTACATAGCTATACATAGTGATACAGTTTTATCATTTACTTAAACGTAGAAAAATTACAAATTTATTTAATAAATTGAGGTTTCTTTCAGATTGTAAACAATATTTTATTTGCGTGACCGGTGAATATCTTTTGCTGTAAGATTCTTTGGAGCACAGACGTTCTAACTCGTAAAACAATTTTAAAATTAAAGATAATGTCTAATCTCACAGTGCAATAGATATTTAAATTTCAATTACTTTGGTATTTAACAAATATTTTGAGATGGTAAAGAACTCTTCAGCGGCTGTTTGATATATACGAAATTACTTTGCTCTTATGGCGGGCAAATCCAAGATGGCCAGCTTCTATGGACGATTGGAAAACAATTAAAAGCTACATCGAAAATTTATAATCTCAGTATATTTATATTATAACCACTTTGTTGTTTAAACAATATTTTGGCGTGATAAATAGCACTTCAGCTTCTGTTTATGGCCGCTAGCCTCTAAGGATCATTTTAGCCATTGTAGCCTGCTCATACACTTTTCATTTATACATTCGCTTTAAAAAGGGGATGGGCTACAAATAATCGTCAAACCATTATAAATGCTTCATTTCAGTATGTTTGGTACAATCAAGCAACATTTTCAAGAGATGTTACAGCTAAGAGTCAAATGCGGAATATATCATGCGTAAAGCCGGCGTGTTTGCCCACAAACCAAGCAAGAAGGCAAGGGTAAGAACCACCTCAGCTAATGCTAATTACATCACATGATTACTGACGGTGTCACACCACGTCGTGCTTTCATCTCTTTGTTTATCGACGACGGAAGATTTCTATTTTCAGCGATTGATTTAGGAGGTTTACTATTATGCTTAAAGCCGGCGTGTTTGCCCGCAAACCAAGCAAGAAGGCAAGGGTAAGAACCACCTCAGCTAATGCTAATTACATCACATGATTACTGACGGTGTCACACCACGTCGTGCTTTCATCTCTTTGTTTATCGACGACGGAAGATTTCTATTTTCAGCGATTGATTTAGGGGGTTTAAAATTTGAGGGATTTGGATAATATTTATTATTAAAAGAATTTGTCGGATTTTTGTGTGCAGCAAATCAACCCCTAAATATTTATAGGCATATTGGGTATCAATTTAAAGCTCTTATTTGCTAAATGTGCCTTTTGCTGGTTTGGATAATATCTAAATATAATATATTAAAATTACAGAGTTTGTGCTGAATTCTATTATCAATCACCTGAACTTTTTCAAACTTAAATTTTGTTTACATCAA